AGGCTTTTTTGTGTCTTTTAAAGATTGGCTAATCTCTTATTTGACCAGTTGTTCAGCTTATTAAAGGATTTTTGTTAACTGGGATCATTACATGTAGAGTACTAAAGTTAAACCTCAACTTCTCTTCTGTTTTAAGCCAGACAGTGGGTGTGGTTTCAGCTTCCACTCGGTTAATTCTGGGGGGCATCACAAACAGGCACAGACAGGTACAGACTGAGGCAAGCACGCACTGGTGGTTAACCTCTGCTGGAGCCTCACATGAAAGCTTCCCTCTTTTCCTGAGTAAATGAAGCAGCTTACACAGTTTTGCTGATCAGCAGCTTTTTAACTTTCGATACAACCAAGTTGGGTTTACTTAAAAATGCAAAAAACATCTTTTAGTTCATCTTTCCTTGTCTGGGGACGTTAGTTCCCCTAAAGAAATGGTAACTTCTATTAATGAGAGGTTTTAATTTATTCTAATTTGTGTTTCTGCCATCGTGTCGTGTTCCTGACCATTAATACGTTAAATGTAAAGCTGTATAAAATCAATTCAGACACTTTAAAACCACTTTGTAGGAAATGCTTAAAGGATTAGCTTAAGTTGATTCTTCTTGGATGACAGGAATGCAGGCTGATCTCCGTCCTGGACAGGCCACGGTGAGCGAGTAAGCTCGGAGCTCTAGTCTGCTCAGATTAGATCAATATTCAAGCTTCTGATCGAGATGAACTGTGGTGTTCTATTCCTGTTGCCAGGCCACATTCATCTACAACCTCACTTCCTGCTTTCTGATAGATCGTATAGTTTGCTTATAGATGTGACAGCAGTGTTGCAAAGCTGTGAGCTCTGAATGCTCTGGTCTACAGATTATTCTTGTACAGAGTCACAGTGTCAGATGATGCTGTCGTAGTGCTGGGTTGAAGCCCCTTGTGCCTTCAGAGTCCCAAATAACCCTCACAGTCACCAGATCTCATCCAAGCACAGCGTCGTGGGGACGTGGTTGAAGGTGACTCTCACATCATGGATCTGCAGCTACTTTGTCAACGTGGACCAAAACCTCAGGATGTTTCCAGCTCCTCCATGAATCTTTGCAGTGCTCTGAACTCACTGTCATGTTCAAGAAAGCAGCTTGCAATGATTTGACACATGACACAATGTCCTGCTGCGAGCAATCATCAGAGGACCTGCACACTGTGGTCATAAATAGCCGGACGTGGTCTGCTACAGTACTCGCTGTGGCGTTTAGACGATGCTACCGAGAGCCCCAAAGTGTGCTAAGAAAATATCCCCGACATCGAGACTCATCAGACCGTGCAGCATTTTTCCAATCTGCTGCCGTCGAGCTTTGGTGAGCCCGTGTGAGCTGCAGCCTCAGTTTCCTGTTCTCAGCTGACAGGAGCACCACGTGCTGTGGTCATCTGCTTCAAGGTCCGATGTGTTGTGCAAACTCTCTTCTGCTTACCTTGATTGTGACGTGGTTATTTGAGTTACTGTTCAGCTGGAAGCATTGGCCATTATCGCTGACCTCTGGCATCAACCATGCATTTCCTCCCAGAGAACTTCTGCTCTTTGTCTCTTTGTTTTTAGACGCTTGAGCAGAAA